AGAATGTGAAGCCAATCTCCATATTCATGAACCAATAACTTTCACCGTATGAAAGTAGTACTTTAACCACCGAGTTAAGTAGAGAGAACAAAAGCTTCGTGAAGACTACTTTAGGACGACGGATAAGGAGATTTAATGCACAAGGCAGGAAAGGCTTTATCCTATGATGTTGCATGAGCTGATGACAAATCTCAATATTAACTTTTGTGTTGTCATTTATTATAAGGTCAATTAAATTGAAGTAAGCACTGATGTCAAATGCATGTACACTCTTATATTATACGTCAAAAAAGTCTTGACTATGAACTTATTTTAATGAATCAGCTGATTTTTAGATCTTGTAAGATATTATTACTCCCTTAAGAATACAACACGTTAACCTCTTTTATCTTTTAAGTTTCAGGGTTTCTGCTATTACAAAATATGGCGCTGACATAGTAGATAGAGATTTTATTCGATTTGATTGTATGAGGCTCCATATTTCTAGGGTGTTTCACATGCAACAAATATGAAACCAAATCAAGGTACAGACTAATGTCAGCCGTATGGCAGAGCCAGCGGAACGATTGGGTAGCAGAGTGAGTCTTAGCACAGCCTTTCATCCTTAGGCCGATGAGCGATAACCAGTCCAGAGGACAATTATTGCGACATACATGAACAATTCAGGTAAAGATATGACACTTATACCTAACTCAATCCCAAAAGTTAGTTTACGAGAGAAGGATTGTCCAAGTCTATATAAAGAGACCATCAGTCTATTCCACAACCAATCTGGGGTTTTTAACATAAGCAGGAGCAGATCTATACTGCAATGGATAGACTTAGAGCAGATCAAGTAACTGAAAACAGTACTGGCGCGGAATACAAATAGCCTCCAAAGGCTCTTCCTTGTTCTAATTGTCTCTAGAATCAAAACAAACATTGTATGTAAACTAACAATACAATAAATACAACAGGTAACAACCATCCAAACAAGGTGTTAGTGGGTACTGATTAGGTAGAACTAGGCATTAAATACTCTATAAAAAAACAAATCTTCATACTGCAATAACAAGAAGCAAAAACAAATGGCATCTTCACCTACTGTTCAATACGTTTCAGATTGTTTCATCAAGCCACTTTACGATTCAGAAGAGTCGAAAAAGCCTGTTTATCTATCATCATGGGATCTAGCCATGCTTTCATTTCAATATATCCAAAAAGGTCTCCTTTTCACCAAGCCATCATCTTTTCAACTTGATCCTCTATTGCGAAAGCTTAAAGAATCCCTCTCAATCACCCTTGTCCATTTTTACCTATTAGCTTGTCGTTTCAAAACACTTAAACAAGAAAATCCCCCTCTTTACACCGTCTTTATCGACTGCGTTAATAGCCCTGGTGCTAGATTTATCCATGCTAATCTTGATTCAACTGTTACTGATATACTTTCACCAAAGGATGTGCCTTTAGTTGTCCAATCGTTTTTCGATCATGATAGAGCTATTAACCATGATGGACATGATTTATCTTTGTTAACTATTCAATTAACAGAATTAATTGATGGGGTTTTCATTGGTTGCTCAGTTAACCATGCAGTAGCTGATGGTTCTTCTTTCTGGCATTTCTTTAACTCTTTCTCAGAAGTTTTCAAAGCCAATAATGGGCAAAAACAGAGCATCCCCATTTCTAAATCGCCGAATTTTAACCATTGGTTCCCAGAAGGACATAGTCCAATTATTAATCTTCCTTATACTCACCATGATCAATTCACTAGTAGACATGAAGCCCCAAATATGAGAGAAAGATTTTTCCATTTCTCAGCAGAGTCTTTAAAGAAACTCAAAGCAAAAGCCAATCAAGAATTTAACAGTAACATCAACAAGATTTCGTCTTTACAAGCTTTGTCAGCTCATATGTGGAGGTGCATAACAAGGGTTCGGAAATTCCCATCTGATCAAATGACAAGTTGTGGGATGTTAGTTAATAACAGAGCAAGATTGGATCCTCCATTGCCAGAAAACTATTTTGGGAATTGCATACAAACTGTTCGAAGGAATGCCTCAGTGGGAAAACTTCTTGAAAATAACCTTGGTTGGGCAGCTTGGGAATTGCATCAAGCTGTGGTGAATCATAAGAATAAAGAAATTCGTGAATGGGTTGAAAAATTGGAATGTGGTGTGGTTTATCAGTTGGGGAGCTTCTGTGATCCTTGTAGTATCGTGATTGGGAGTTCACCACGATTTGATATGTATGGGAATGAATTTGGATTTGGAAAAGGAGTGGCACTTAGAAGTGGATATGCACATAAGTTTGATGGGAAAGTGAGTTTATATGAAGGAATTGAAGGTGATGGTAGCATGGATTTGGAAGTGTGCCTTTTACCTGATTTCATGGCTTCTCTTGAAACTGATAAGGGGTTCATGGATAGTTTATCAAGTTAATTTAGATGTTTTGGTATTTGGAGAATTGATGTGTTTTCAATGTTGATCAGTTTGATATGGGTTTGATTCTCGTTCTTAACTTTTTCTCATCTAGTATCCAGTATCCGTGCTTGTCTAGACTAATTTCATATTGGAGTGTAAAACGCTCTCTAACCAAGATGATTATGTATTACAGAACTTAAACACGAGCCTCTGATTAAGTACTTACTACAAAATAACTTTCTAAGTTTACTACTTAATATAAATAGACTCAGAGCTGTGAAAGGAATTGAATACAATTCTGTCGCAGAATGCATTTGCCTCCAAAGGCTTATCCTTTCTCAAATTGATTCTATCATCATAGCATGCATCCAGGTTTTCCTCTATTTCCACACTTTCCCAATCAAACCACTGAATCAACGAACCCAAAACCAACGAAACTGATTGCAGGGCAATTGTGACTCCAGGGCATGCTCTTCTCCCCATACCAAATGGTACAAATTTATAATTGAACCCTTCTTTTTCCCCTTCCATTGCCTCAAATCTCTCCGACATAAACTTTTCTGGCTCATCCCATTAGTCAGGGTCCCTGTGGATGGCCCAAGCGTTAACCATTAGGATTGTATGTTTTGGTACATCGTAGCCACCAACAGTACAATCTTCTAATGAGTAGTGAGGAGACAAAAGTGGTACTGGAGGGTATGATCTCAACGTCTCATTTATAACACAGTGTAAATAAGGAATCTTAGTGAAATCAGATTCATTTAGCAACCGTTCCTTCCCCACTTTGCTATCAATTTCGGTTCTCAGCTTGTGAAATGCCTCAGGGTGAGCTGAAAGAAGTCGCATCGCCCACTGGATAGTCATCGATGTGGTCTCTGTTCCCCCTACAATCAAGCCCTGGCACAAGATATATGATATTAATTAAAACTAACATACAATCTAATCAAACAAAATTTTGACCATAATTGAGGAAATTTACCAGAAGAACACTTTTAATGGGATCATTTGTGTAGAATTCGGGTTCTGATTCTTGTAGAGACAATAGAGTTTCAACCAGTGTATCACTGTTTCTACTAGTACTCGACTCTGAAACACTATGACTTTCTTTCTTGTGTCGAAATTCGTCTAATAATCTGTTAAAGAATTCATTTCTCTTATTGTGCTAAAACCATGCTATTCTCAATCCCTTTATACCTAAACCATTTCAATACTGGCAAGAAATCACACATGTTCAAAATCAACGCAAATGCCGCGAAGATAAACCCCCTTGTCTCTTCAATGATTTCCTTACCCTTCTCTGTTCCTATATCTTCCTCACGTACGCAACGTTTTCCAGTACAAATTCTCATCATAAAATTGAACACCTAAGTATTTACCCAACTACTCAAGTTAATTTTTGCACTACTACTAAGCAAACAACGAATAATAATTCCAATTTCTTCTCTCCTCAGTGCAGAAGACTTACACAAGCTATTGGAAGAGAACATGATATTTACAGTTAGACGGCGAAAAGCCCTCCAGAGATAGCCATAAGAATCCCAAATAATGATCTTATAATTGAAGGACAACTTATCTCCAGCCATACTAGAGAATGGTTTGCAAATATGATGTCGTTTTTTTGTGAAACATTCTTCCACAGCAGATGGAGAAGACACAACAAGCAAATTTCGACAGCCAAATCGGAGGTACAGAACAGGTCCATATTTAGTTGATAATGAGGCTAATGTCTGGTGAAGTGAGCTTTTGATAAGGTAAAGATGACCGATAATTGGCAGAGACAGAGGACTAGGTGGTAAACGCTTTACGGGATAAAACAGATGTTTGATCAAAAAGATTGTAACAAGAAATATCAAGATAGTAGCTAAATAGTAGTAGTAGTTAAAGTTCAGATTCTCCATGGGCGAAATGTTGAAACAACACATCGAGAGAGTTGTTCGTATCAAAGGGTGATACCTTAGATTTCACTAAGGTCTTGGATATTTTTAGACCAAAAGATAGAAAAAGGCTACGTGTGAGTCATTTCTAAATGTTAGACGTATTTTTGGCCATTTTTTTGTTTAATAATATATCGTTGGAAGTATCTAAGAGTGAAGTTACTTAGTAGCTGAGTGATAAGTTCCTAGTGTGTAGAGACAAAAAGCATGATCATATTGCTGACGAATTTAAGTAATGGACAAATACAAAGTACTTATGATAAAGGATGACTGGATGAGGCAGAGGGATAGAGAGACTGTGTGTGTGAAAGCTAAATTTTGCAACACATTTTTCTTGTTTGTTTTTTTCCTTCATTCATTTCTTATCCGGTTTCACTTATACATATGTTGAGAGTTTAAGTTATACACGTAGTTATTGTAAAGTTTTTTTGGTACTATACACTCATATTTACCTATTCTAACGGGTAATCTATCTTATTTCAAGGATTAGCCAGAGTAAATACTTAGATCAATTGTTTACATCAAATCAACTTAAGTTATCACGGATAAGTGGCTAAGTGACAGAAATGTATGTACAAATAATGTCATACATCTATTGGTTTGATGTAAGTGCGTGTAAGTTTTTATCTTTGCAAATAAAACAAGGCATAGATTGAGCTTGGCATTCAACAAATAACAGCTTAAGAGTTGTTTCATGTTTCATTTCTACCTTGTCCTTAAACTCGTGTACTTATTTATAAACATTCACTAAGAACACAAAGGTAGATCCTTACAATACATGGATAATAAACTCAGAGCTGGTCAAGGAATCGAATACAATTCTGGCGAGGAATGCATATGGCCTCCAAAGGCTTTTCCTTGTTCAAAGTGATTCTAGTATTATAGCAGGCATCCAAGTTTTCCTCGAATTCCACATTTTCCCAATCAAACCACTGAATCAACGAACCTAAAACCAACGAAACAGTACGTAAGCCCATTGCAGCTCCAGGGCAGGCTCTTCTCCCCATTCCAAATGGCACAAATTTATAATTGAACCCTTCTTTTTCCCCTTCCACACCCTCAAATCTCTCCGGCTTAAACTTTTCAGGCTCTTCCCATACCTTGGGGTCCCTATGGATGGCCCAAGCGTTAACCATTAGGATCGTATGTTTTGGTACATCATAGCCACCAATAGTACAATCTTCTAATGAGTAGTGAGGCAACAGCAGCGGTACTGGAGGGTATAATCTCAACGTCTCGTTTATAACACACTGCAAATAAGGAAGATTAGTGAAATCAGATTCATTGAGCAAACGCTCGTTCCCCACTTTGCTGTCAATCTCAGCTCTCAGCTTGTGAAATGCCTCAGGGTGAGCTAAAAGAAGTCGCATCGCCCATTGAATGGTCATCGATGTGGTCTCTGTTCCTGCAATAAACAACATCTGGCAAACAAGATGTTCAAACAAATGCACAAGTCTAATTAATGAAGTGATCTCTAGGATATATTTGCTCAAATTAAAACTCCAAACTAAGGAAATTTTGACCAAACGTACCAGTACAACACTTTTAATGAGATCATCTGTATAGAATTCGGGTTCTGATTCTTGCAGAGACAACAGAGTTTCAACCAATGTGCCCTTCTTCTCTCTGTTTCCATCAGTACTGGACTCCGAAACACTAACTTTCTTCTGTCGAAATTCGTCAAATAAACTATTCAAGAATTCATTTCTCTTCTTATGAGCTGAAACCATCCTCTTCTCAATCCCTTTATACCCAAACCATTTCAATACTGGCAAGAAATCACACACATTCAAAACCAACAACGTCGCGAAGAAAATTCCCTTGATCTCTTCAATAATTTCTTTACCCTTCTCTGTTCCTATCTCCTCCTCACTTACGCAACGTTTCCCAGTACCAATTCTCATCATAACATTAAAAGAAAAAGTAAAAACCCAATTACTCAAGTTAATTTTCACACCACTCCTATTACAATGAACTTTAAATAAACCGCGAATAAGAATTCTAATTTCTTCACTCCTCAATGCAGAAGACTTTTGAAGGCTACTGAAAGAGAAAATCTCAATTACCATTAGACGGCGAAGCGCCCTCCAATGATAACCATAAGGAGCCCAAACAACAGCCTTATAGTTGAATGAATACTTATCTCCAGTCATAGTCTGAGGACGGTTAGCAAATATGATATCGTTTTTAGTGAAACATTCTTCTACAGCGGATGGAGAAGTCACAATAAGCAAATTTCGACAGCCGAACCGGAGGTACATAACCGGTCCATATTTAGTTGATAATGAGGTTAATGACTGATGAATAGAATTTTTGATAAGGTAAAGATGGCCAATTATTGGAAGAGACAGAGGACTAGGCGGTAAACGTTTTTTTGGAATGAAAAAAGTATTTTAATAAAAAGATAACAAAAAATAGCAACAAGTAGTAGTACTACTTAGAGTTCAGAGTCTCCATGGCCCAAAACAGAGAATTGTAAACTTAACAAGTGAAGGCAGTGTAGTTTTGGTAAACAGATTTGTGTTTTATATATACATATCAGTTCCAGTGTGTGGAGGCTAAAAATTTCGTAAGCAATGATCATATACATGACGCATTTAAGTAATTGACAGATTCAAGTATACCAAATTTCTACGTCTTAGTTAGAAACAAGAAAACAACCAAGGGAAAGGTGTGTTGGGACCACGAGTCGGATCAAAAGGGGAACTCTATGATTTGAAGACAGCACCAAAATTATTATTTTAACATAGTGAAATTTTCAATGACGATCGAGGAATAGTTCCACTAGTCGCGTGAGCAAGGAAAATATACAAGTATATTGAGGTATATATATAGGGAGGGAAATTTTTCCAAAATACATATTAGCTTCTGGATAAATATACTATTAAAAAAAGGGAAAAAGGATAAATATACCCCGAACTATCGTAAATGGTATGCAAATACCCTCCGTCATACTTTTTGAGACATTGGTGCCCCCTGCCGTCCAAAAAACTAGAGCATATATACCCTTTTATACTAATGGACATACACGTGTCATAATCTTATCCACCGATCCGATATTTATCGACTGATAAGATTGCGCCACGTGTCCCTATTTAGTCTTCCGTTAGAGTGAAGGGCATATATGCTCTAGTTTTTAGACTGCAGGGGCACCAATGTCCCAAAAGTATGATGAAGGATATCTGCATACCATTTACAATAGTTCGGGGGTATGTTTGTCTTTTTTCCCTTAAAAAAATAATTTAAAATTAACGAGTGCACATAACCCTGTATACACATGACTCCACCTCTCGCTGGAACTAACATGCATGCGTGGTTGTCAAGTACTCCTGTCAACTAATTCCACAAGAAAGAGGTTTGTATAAGAAAAATCACTCAACTAATGATTTTTCTCTCAAAACTCAACTTTGATTTTTAACCAAAAAGTTATTGAACTGTGAATTTTTCACTTAGAAAGTCATAAGAAAAATCACTCAACTAATGATTTTTCTCTCAAAACTCAACTTTGATTTTTAACCAAAAAGTTATTGAACTGTGAACTTCACTCAGAAAGTCACTCAACTATGATTTTTATCTCAATTATAAACTCTTCTCTCATAAAGTCACTCAATTATGGAGACTTTTCTCTCAGAAAGTCACGTACTATGGAACTTTCTGAAAGAAAAGTTTAAAGTTGAGTGACTTTCTCAAGATAAAAAAGCAGGTGGAAACTGAAATCTATTACAAAAAAGTAGTCTTTACATTATCAACACACAAAGGGCAATTGATCAAGTAATTGACAAATTCGATAGCAAATATTGTAGTATTATCACTTTACGAAAATGGACGAAGCAGATAGATAAGGAGAAGATAGAGAGAGAGAAAGCGAAGTGTAACAAACATTTGGTGTTTAATATGTACTAAGTATGTTTTTTAATGCAAAAAAATTAATATGTATGTGGCTCTTATCGTCTTTGTTCATTTTTACTTGTCAGTGTTAAATTTGGTACACTTACTGAAAAAATAATTATTGACATAGTTATTTTATCATGATATCCATATTAAATATTGATGTTTAGTATTAGATCTCCGAGAATGACTTGGAAATTAGTATTTAATATTAAGGGTAAAACATGAAAAAGAAATTATCTTTTTTTGATGTATCAAAAACGATAAGTAAAAATAAAAATCTATTTTAGAATAAAATACAAGTTTTGTGTAGATCATAACAAGAATAATTTACTGTTATGTATAATGAGAAATACAAGAGGAGAATTAACTGTTTTTGGGAAATCTACTAAAGAATGAGCATGTTTGGAGGAGCTTATAGTTTCTGGCTTATAAATCAACAATCATAAATGAAGAATTATAACTTCTTATTTTTTATTTATTTTTGTCGTGTTAGCTTAAAAATAATATTTTAGTTTATTGAAACACTACAAAATCGCTTTAAAAATTATTTTAACTTGAAAAACACTACTCCCTGTGAGTTTATATGACTTACTTTTTTTTAATAGTCTAAAAATGACACATTTCTATATTAAATAGTAACATAAACTTTAAAATGTTCATTTTACCATTAATGAAATGTTTTATAGTCACACAAATATCTATCACTTATTTTAGACCACAAGTTTTAAAAGTCATTTTCTTTCTTTTTTTAAACTCCATGTGAAATTAAACTAAACTCATATAAAATAAAAACGAGAAAGTATAAATCAATCCAAACACACTCTTAATCCATTTCCACAATATTGATCTTATTTGGATAGTACATTCCATAAAAACACAAAGATAAAATCCTTATATATCACATAAACACACACCAAGATCCATCTAGCATACTTATTTATTACACAACACACAATTCTTACTCGAAATTAATTCTAACGAGGAATGCAAATAGCCTCAAAAGGCTTATCCTTACTTGAAATTACTTTAGAATTATAGTATTCATCCATATTACTATAATTTTCATCTAATTCCACATTTTTCCAATCAAACCATTGAACCAACGAACCCAATACCAATGAAACAGTACGCATACCCATATTGTCTCCAGGGCATGCTCTTCTCCCCATACCAAACGGTACAAATTTATAACTAAATCCTTCTTTTTCCCCTTCCATAGCCTCAAATCTCTCTGGCATGAACTTTTCAGGCTCGTCCCATAACGCGGGGTCCCTATGAATGGCCCAAGCGTTAACCATTAGGATTGTATTTTTTGGTACATCGTAGCCACCAACAGTACAATCTTCTAATGAGTAGTGAGGCAATAGAAGTGGTACTGGAGAGTATAATCGCAACGTCTCGTTTATAACACATTGTAAATAAGGAAGATTAGTTAAATCGGATTCGTTTAATAAGCGCTCGTTCCCTACATTGTTGTCAATTTCGGATCTCAATTTTTGAAATGCTTTAGGGTGAGCTAAAAGAAGTCGCATTGCCCATTGAATGGTCATTGATGTGGTCTCTGTTCCCGCAACAAACAAAACCTAAAACACCATAGACACACATTAGTAAAAGCAAATTATATATTGTCAGTCTGGTAATTTCATGGATCGTTACTCAACTTTCATTTTAATATTACACCAACTTTGTAATGAAAAAGTGACTACCTAGGTAAAATAAAAGTAACTACACTATTCTTCTTTGTAATAGAAATATCAATCACATGAAGTCACTACGAGAAAACAAAGTAGTAAATATTTTTTCCTGTGATACTTTGCGCAAAGTTGAGTAACTTTGAAAAACTTTCTTTTGTGATGTTATAACATTGATATTAATTATGTGAGACTTATTTTTGTCGCACAAGTTGGTGCACTCAAATTCAACATTTTTCAGTTCACTTTTTTGTAAGATAAAAATAGGTCTTAAATAACCAATAGAAATAGTTATATAAATACTATTCGATCATCTTATTTATCAAAAATGACCAAACTATACATTGCATATAAACTCTATTATATATGTTGTGTATACATATTGCATATGTGTATGTATAAAATATGGATATTAGTATAAATTTTACATTATCTATACACTATGGTCTATGTACATTTATTTTGTAAACTAGATGACCCAAAGGTATTGGGTTGTAATTTACTCTAATATTTATAATGGAAACTTATATAAATTCACTAGTTTAAGAGTTAATTATTCAGATACACTCTAATTTGCAATATTATGAATCTTATCAGATTTTGGAGTGTCTAGATACGTCCAGATACATGTATCTCGAGATACATGGGGTCAAAATTAGGTGTAATTTTTCTAGATACATTGTATACGAGTGGGTTTGCATGTATCTGGTAATAAATCTCTCTCACCTCCCTCCCCATCTTGCTCGCATCTCTCCCTATTTTAGTGTATTTGATACCAAAAATACATATATCTAGGTGTATCTCCCTCAATATATGATAGAAAACACTTATTTAAGTAGTAAGATACGTAATATTTTGAAAATATAGATAATTACTGTATATCTGATAATGGAATGTGTCTAATCATGTAATTTCTCATATTTATAATCTTTAGAAACTAATGCCGACAGTGAGCCAATTATTTTCACGTTTATACTCAAAAAAACACGCCAGCAAAATTTGTAAGGATATATATTGCATACAGGAATATATATATATATATATTAAAAGTTATGAAGCAAATCAAGGACATCTAATAGTACCAACTTTATGCAATAGTTTGAGGGAACGTATGTACGTACCATTAGAAGACTTTTAATGAGATCGTCCGTGTAGAATTCAGGTTCAAATTCCTGCAGAGACAATAAAGTTTCAACTAGTGTCGCCTTCTTCCCCTTAGCTCCATGATCACTACTACTACTACTACTTTTTTTCTGTCGAAATTCGTCAAGTAATTTGTTTAAAAATTCATTTCTCTTCATACTCGTTAAGTCCATTTTTTTCCCAATCCCTTTATAACCAAACCATTTCAAAATTGGCAAAAAATCACACACGTTTAAAACCAACAAATTTGCAAAGAAAACACTCCTCATCTCTTCAATAATCTTTTTCCCCTTTTCCATTCCTATAACTTCCTCACTCACACAACTTTTTCCAGTACCAATTCTCATCATAACATTAAACACAAATGTAAAAGCCCAATAACTCAAGTCAACCCTAGTACCGCCACGTGTATTCTTTTCACTGGCTTTAAACAAAGAGCGAATCAAAATCCCAGTTTCTTCATTTCGAATTAAAGAAGACTTTTGAAGACTGTTTGAAGAGAAGAGTTCAATCGCCGTTTGACGGCGGAGAACTCTCCAGAGTTGACCGTACGGTGCCCAAAAAATAGCAGTATAATTAAAAGAAACCCGGTCACCTAGCATGCTCTGTGGCCGGTTTGCAAATACAACATCGTTTTTCGTGAAACATTCTTTTACAGAGGATGAAGAGGACACAATCAACATATTTCGACACCCGAAACGGAGGTATAAAACCGGACCATATTTAGTTGATAAAGAGGTTAATGTTTGGTGAAGTGAATTTTTGATAAGGTAAAGATGGCCTATTATTGGGAGAGACAAAGGACTAGGTGGTAAATGTTTTTTTGGATGAATCAAATGTTTCAATAAAATTATGAGGAAAAATAGAAAGATGATAGCTAGGTAGTAATAAGAGGAATTAGAATTATAAAAGTTCTGCATGGCTGAATTTAATAACTTGAAAATTAAAAATGCTTGAACTTATTAGAACTCTTCTCAACTTAGTGCTGCGTAGTATAGTTTATTATATAGATGGTATTTGCCCACCTTATATTATATTGGTGGTATTAATTAAAGGATCACGTGAAATACAATTGAATTGTGAAACTCGTTAGAGTTTGGAAAGAAAACTAGTTTACCTATTGGTTTTGAAATGTAAAATTCAGAAAAATGGGTAGTAGTAACTAACCATCTCTTACTCTATCCGCTTAAAAAAATTGAAGTAGTTTTATATGACATTGAATTTAAGAAAATAAAGAAGAATTTTCAGTCTTATGGTTTTAAATTAAAGTTATGTCAAATGTACATAAATGTCCTTTAATTTTGAGACCACGTGAAAATTTGAAATCAAAGTGTTGTCAATAAAAAAAAAGGGGAAATTTCTTAAATATATCCAAACTTTGACCGAAATTGCTGTAACAACACCGAACTTTGGAAATGACCTTTTACCCCTTTGTACTATTTAATAGTGTATTTTAAAGGTATATATGTGCCCACGTGGACATCATATATATATATATATATATAAAGAAGAAACATAGAGAAGGTGATGTGGCACCTCTCTATGGCCTCCATTCATAATTATTTATTTTTCTCATATTTTAGGCATTTTTTTCATATAAATATAATAATTTACTCACTAAGAAAATAAACAATTAAATAATTTACTCACTAAGAAAACAATTAAATAAGCCCACGTACTTTTTCACCTTTTAAAAATTGTAGCTGCACAAATTTAATCATATACGTTTCAGTTGTAACTGTATGTATTTATGGGTCAAGGAAATCGAAAAGACAATTAACAACTAAATAATTCACTCACTAAAATAGATTTCTTTAATGCTCTTAATTATGATGAAAACTTCAAAAGCCTCTAACCAACTAATCAGAAGAAGAAACATTTTCTAAACGGTATGCAACAAAGAAATGAATGTTCTTAAATGTAACCGTTTTTATCTTTACCTATATATCACCCTAAATTCACTTCAATCCATCATATGATAAATCCCTTTGGTGTCAAGTTAATCCCTTTGAATTTTTTTTTTTTATTTGCTTTTTCTTTTTAAAATATTTATATAATATTATATAATTACTTGTGATATATGTTTGTGTTTTTGTCTGGTGAGTGGTGACTAATCTCATTGAATTCTTTATTTTTATTTTATTTTAAAAATATTTATATAATATTATATTGCCACTTGTGATATATGTTTGTGTTGTTTTGCAAATTGAAAATATATGACTAGGAAATGGAATCATAGGCAGACATAATTTTATCTTATTTTGTTTAGTAAGTTATTTATTATTTTTAGTGGATTGATATGGTTTTTTATTTATGTTACAGTAACATTGTTACTCTCATCTTCTTCTAAATGTTTATGAACTTTCTTGAAAAAAAAAGCAGGTACACTATTGAATTCTTGGTGTTAATTATTTACTATATTTACTATAATAATGTGTTTTCTCACTCCTTTATCTTGTTTTATTCTAGATAATATAAGCATATTTTTGTTGCTTAGATTTTGGCGGCTAAAGTTAAAAATATGTCAACAATAATAATAACATGTTATTTTACAATAAGCTCTGTTGACACCCAATTTTGGCTCTCCACATTTAACCTATAGTAAATTTATAATAATAATAATAATAAAATATATATGTTATGAATTTTTTTAGAAAAAAAAAAAATTAACTTATTTGACTTGATAAATTTATTTCTTAAATGTTATTTCTTATAAAAATTAAATATATTAGATTACTACTTACTTTCTCATTTTTAAATAAATGATTGTTCTTCTGAAGAATTAAATCTATTTGGTTCAAATATAATTCCTTTTGTCGCAATAGATATTTTCGTACATTTATTAAAATTAGAAAGCTTAGTTAAATTAATGATTTACTAATTTATATTAATTTAATTTTAAGAGTGATTAATTTTATCAAACAAGCTAATCTTAGCAAAATAATTATCACTTATGGCTATTTAATAAGAAAGTAGTTATGATTTAAATGAATTTAATTTGAGCAAATTTGACAATCCAAGTCTTATTAAACCGGCCAATCCGTGTATGCCACGTAGGCGATCACATGGATTGTGCTTCTTTAGATTCGATCTCAGTCTTACCATCTAATCTAATGGCCTTAATTAATTCATCCTTTTACTTTTATATATATATATATATATAATTATAATTTATTTATAACTCTTTATTTTTACCAACCGTCCGATCAAATGATCGGACGGACCAAATTAGATACTAAAGCTTTCATCTTTTCCCAAAAATTGTACAACCCTACCGCCCCCTAATCTTTCAATTTCCTTAGGCATCTGTTCTTCTTTTTCCCAAAAACTTTCCTTCCCCAAAACGTTTTCCTTCTTCCCCAGGAACTTTTCACGCCCCTCTCCCATCAATCTCTGCCAAAGAACGGCTTGAACTGCCGGAAAATGGCAATTTCCGGTGGTTTTTGGCCAGGTCCATCCGTCGTCCGTCAATCACACTTCCCTTTTCTATCAACTTTACATCTTTTCCGATTTATTTTTTTTGACCCAAAGCAGGCCTAGAAGTCTCGACCATCATCATTGCTCCGCCTAAAAAGTGGGGGATGCGAAGAACCATTAGATTTTAGTTCGTCTCATCCTCAATTTAATAGGTTTGAGAGTGGAAACCTCTCCCAAAATCGCCTATAAAAGGCAGGCGTCTTCCAATTCGAAAGGGAGGAAAAAAAAAAGAAAACGAGAGCAAGGATTCAAAATATCCAAGCAGTAGGAAAAAGATAGAAACAATACACTTCAAGAACAATAGTTGGAGAACCTTTCATCTTTTGTTTATTTTGGCTTCGAATCCAAGTTTGAAGTTCGAGTTTGAAGTTGGAATCTTTGACGTGAAAGCTTTAGTTTTGCTGCTCCAAGAAAGGTAATTTCACGTCCTCCTACATTCTTTTATTTCGATCCAGCGTGTTATGTGTTGAACACTTGATATAGAATCTGTTGTTACGTGTATATGATTCCCCTGTTTTAACCCTTACCTTAATGTCGTTCTATATGTCACTAGGCAGTAAGCATAAGTCAAGCATCAGTGAAGTTGTTTGAATGTTATGTGTTGATCATTATGTTCATCAACTTGATTTTATATCCATATAACTGGCTGAATCTATGCTTTGTTTTGCTGGCGATGGTCGATGTTAATTTAGTCTCCATTTTGAGTGTTCTAACTGTGTAGCTCTATTTTCATCACTGTTAGTTTGAATTCATAACTCGAATGCCGGTCGTGATTTCTGTTGTATTTCAGCTGCTCATATCGTTAATATAAAACTTGAGTTAGAATCAACTTGGAAAAGCATAAGGCATGTTCATATTACCGCTTTCAAGTTCGGCAACATGATTTCATAAGACGTTTAGCCTGATTTACGTTGTTCTCTGTCGCTAAGTGTCGTTCACATTTTAAACCAATTGTTTCTGCATCTTTAAATTTCATACGTAACCTCATTATTACGAAAGTCAGATTTCACTTAAATTTTGGGGAGTTTCTATTCTAAGGTCGTTTACTCCTTCAAGTATAACCAAGCTTTGTCTAAATAATCATTTTTCTAAATATGAATGAGACATTTTAGCACTTAAAATCATGTCTTTCACCTGCTACTGGTTCATTTTCTCATTATGGAATGAATTTCCTCTCTTATGTTGGTTCTTTATGGATGGCAGTGTGGGAGTATTAAATTAGGATAGCTTTTTTTAATATGAGGGATTGGACAGCTGCACATTTTTATTTCTCCTTTCAAAAGTTGTCGAGTCATAATTAATTTGCCTATGTTCACGTAAAATCAAGAAAGCTAAATGAGCATTTACTTATTAACTTGATCGCAAATTGAACCAACTCAAATATAATCCATCTTGATCTATTTCCCTTTTCGTATTTCATCCTCTCTGGAAATATTTTTGCTTTGC